TGTGGAGGCGATATGCTGACTCTGTAAACCGCTTAGAGAGGGCTGAAAGCCCTATGAAGCGGTATATAAGTCTAACTGCTATTGCTATTGCTACTGCATTCTAACCACTGCTCCATCACGGCTCTTATCATGAGAGGAAAGGAAGAGGCAGGTAAGGGAAGATTTAGATCCCATGGTCCTCAGCTTCCTTAGAACCCTTGCACCAGCCTTCCCCAACTGCAGAGATTGAGGACTTGGAAGTTTACAGCCTTAGAAGGGCCCATTTTGGGGGAGTTTCTTTCAGGTAGTTGAGGGAGGTAGATATGAACCTTACCAGCTTTTCTTCTGCCTTTTAGTCCAGAGGAAAATGTTGGTGGGAGTTACTGGTTATGCTGTCTTTTCTGGTGTAAAATGCAAAGAAAACAGTTTAGTGGAAGATAGCAGTGCCTTGTGTGGGAGAAATCACTAGAATGGAAATGTGCTTGCTGATTGATAGGTTGCCTTCTCTATATCCCTGACTGCAGGCTTCCCAAATGTTGGCAAAAGCAGCTTGATCAACAGCTTGAAGAGGACCCGAGCTTGCAGTACGGGTGCCACTCCTGGCATCACCAAGTATGTGCCCAAGCTGAGGTGCTAATTAGAAGTGAGGCATCAGATTGGAAGCGCTGGGTAGTCAACCTCGTAGTTTCGCTTCTTTTCATTTTAAATCAAGGAATGCTGCAGGAGGTCTGTGGTGCTGCTTATGTAAGAGAGATAAAAATCCACGGATTCCCTTATGCTTTATCTCCCAGTCGTAGGAAAGACAGTTTTTCCCTGGATAACATCGTGCAGAATTGGATGTATGGATTGGATGAGCGAAAGCGCTTAGAATTATTTAGTTGGGTTAGCATATAGTTTTAGGCATAGTAGGCCAGAGAAGGTTTGGGATTGTAAAATAAAAACAAAAAGGTATAAAAATTCTGTACAAGACACAGAGTACTGTGTTCACTACTTTATATATTGTTCTAATCCATGAGATGATTTAATTCGTCACTGGAAGCTTTCAAGAAGAGACTGGACAGCCATCTGTCAGAAATGGGATAGAGTCGCCTGCTTGAGCAGGGGGTTGGACTAGATGACCTACAGGGTCCCTTTCAACTCTTATTATTCCATTCTAATTTGTGTTTATTCAGCATCTACCCTTACCAGCTATAAGTTATTCTTCGTGACTCAGGACATGTGAATTGAACCAGTAGTGGTTGAATAAATAGTAAATCATGATAAAGCAATGCCTAAATTTAGCCACTTTCTGCCCATTGGTTTATTTTACCCACTTTGCCTAGTTTTGAAGTGACTTAGATTAACTATAGTTACCGTATATACTCGAGTATAGGCCGACCCGAATATAAGCCGAGGCACCTAATTTTACCACAAAAAACTGGAAAAGTTATTGACTCGAGT